TCCTGGTTCATGAGAGGATGAAATAAAATACAGTATTTGTAGATAATCGTAGCTATTTCACACGTCTTTGGTAGTCCCATTGTAGTTATATCAGTGTTTACTGAAGGGAACATTAAAATATTAATGGTATATTACAAAATAAAGACTTTCTTAAAGGAAAGTTGCACCTATTTTACCTTTTTAAGAGTAAGCCATGAAATCTTATCTTGTGACATGTCTCTTAACTATTTATAATAAAAATTGGCATTTGGGTATAGTAACCACAGCAATGTTCTACATCCCTAAGATTATATAGGTAGGACATGTCAAAGATGACTGTAGTCACTCTGGAGGTCCTATTAGAGAAAACTGTAAAGGGAGACCTCATAGAAAGGATATGAGTCCTCACTCTGAGGTTCACTTTTTCTGGTGCTTTATTAGCAACTCTGAATATTTTTATAAAACTAGTTACATTATAAATGGATTGAGTGTTTGATTTACATTTGGTTTTTATGTAAGAAGTGTCACAGAAACACGCAGCAAGCAGGCTGATTGCAACAGCAGACTCGGAAACGTCTAATGTAATTGAGTAGTCTGCTCATCGTGAGGTGTACATCCCAGTGCCTTTAACCTGGATTTCTAATATCAAGTGAAATGGGTGCAGCATTCCTTTGGAAATAAAAACTTTATCTTTTTCAATCGGTAATTATTTTTTCCATTTTACGATTTCTTCAGCGCACCTACTTTCTCTTCCTCCTTGGTCTATCAATATATTGCAAAATGTTTTCCCTCTAAATGAAATGATCACAGGTTGTCTAAATAGCACAACTAACTGAATGTTTAACTGTAGCGACCAAAAAGAAGAGAACCTGGGCTCCACAGCAGGAAACACATAATCAAATGTTTGAATAATCACAACTTAAGATATGCCCAGGAAATTCCTTGCTTAATATTTTTCCAAGATTTGGTTTGAATGTTTCTTATTAAAGTTACCTTAAGTGAGTATTTTATTTTGGAAGGTATAATAGTTTGTATATTTAACAGAAAGGGGGAAAATGTAACCAAAATTAGTATTCTGTCTCTATACTTATTGGTACTTGAAGATTCCTTTCAAAAGAAACCCCAGCCTTTTCCTAATTTCAATACTTAATTCCTCATTTTAACTTGTGATCTTTCTAATTCAAAAGCTGTTTTCTTTTTGAATACCATGCATGGAGGTTAAGCTGATGATAAAATGGTTTGCAATAAAAGGAGTCAGCTTAAGTCATTTAATCATTTCAAGTGCTTTCTGCATCCTATAAAAATGTTTGAGACATTTAAGAGAATTGTGTTTTCATTAAGTTTTGCATATCTTTTGTTATGCCATGTAAATTCCCTTTTTCGTATGATTACAGAAAGGTTATGATAAAATGATTATTAGTTCATTTATATTCACTTGTAGCAATTACATGAGAATTTGAATTTTGTCATGTTTGGGTTTGTTCATTCCCGTGAATGATGGTACAGTTAGGTGAGCTTTTCTGTTATGGTACCCAAACTCACCATTTGGTCCTCTTTAATCTTTGAGGGTTTCAATAAAAATTGTTCACTCATATCTGTGTTCTTTCCTTTTATCTTTATAAATATGTACTGTCTCCTGGAAGACACAACATTGTTGTTGACACTGTTCTGGGTTTCCTGACTGACAGATCTTTCAAGCACAGAGAGATTATAGCACTCATTTTAGCTGGGCACTTAAATTAAGTGGGAGAATTAGAGAAAGGGAGATTAACCACTTATCCTAATCATTGCCCATTTCAGTGATTTTATTGAATACCATGACGAAACCTAGAGGAAAAGAGAAAGAGGCCTGTTTATGTTCATGTAAGAGGAGGAAGTAGTGTCACCAGCTAAGAACCTTGATCCTCCATTCTTGGTACCAAGGAATGCTTTTCTAATGATCTGTACATTATCCTTTGGGTAGATAGAGCTTATGTCGGTAGGATTATGGTGACTCTGGATGATACATTTATCATTTCAGGGTTATCTAAGGTACTTTCTCTGATGGGGGAAAACCAGAGTTTAGGTTTGTGATGTCAGTACCTGCTGAAAGCATACAACACTGTTGGCCTGTGACCAAGGCAGAGTTTTCTGGAACCACCCCAATGTCCTATATTGCAGTGTCATCAGAAGCCTCCTTTT